CCTTCTATTTGCCACTATTATAATCATTATAAAACATATCATATATATTATTCTGAAATAGTCCAATCTGCACAATGACTACTTTTACTGTCTCTACTTTCACTAGATTTTGATGAGAATACTTTTCTACTTTTACTCAAGTACAAGACCTGAGTACTTCTACTTTTACTCAAGTACAAGATCTGAGTACTTCTACTTTTACTCAAGTACAAGATCTGAGTACTTCTACTTTTACTCAAGTACAAGATCTGAGTACTTCTACTTTTACTCAAGTACAAGACCTGAGTACTTCTACTTTTACTCAAGAACAAGATCTGAGTACTTCTACTTTTACTCAAGTATAAGACCTGAGTACTTCTACTTTTACTCAAGTACAATATCTACTAGTACTCAAGTACAAGACCTGAGTACTTCTACTTTTACTCAAGTACAAGATCTGAGTACTTCTACTTTTACTCAAGTACAAGATCTGAGTACTTCTACTTTTACTCAAGTACAAGACCTGAGTACTTCTACTTTTACTCAAGTACAAGACCTGAGTACTTCTACTTTTACTCAAGTACAAGACCTGAGTACTTCTACTTTTACTCAAGTACAAGACCTGAGTACTTCTACTTTTACTCAAGTACAAGACCTGAGTACTTCTACTTTTACTCAAGTACAAAGTCTGAGTACTTTTACCTTTTCTTAAGTACAATAACTGAGTACTTCTACTTTTACTGAAGTACAAGATCTGAGTACTTCTACTTTTACTCAAGTACAAAGTCTGAGTACTTTTACTCAAGTACAAGAGTACTTCTCCCACCTCTAGTACATTGCAATATATCGGTTAGCTGTTGTAAACTTCTAAGTTTGGACTCAACCAAAATGTTCAATCTTAAACATGAAGTGCTAAAGTGCTAAAGACCTACAGACAAAAAAAGGGGCATTTGTAAACTGTGTAGCGTTGATTCTTGGTAAAGTCCATAGCAGTGTTTGCATGCACTATGATGAACTGAATGTAAACACATACATCAGAAGTGAAATGAGTGCTTTTCTGATTCAAAGGACAGAAAACAAAGCACAGTTGTCTTCTCTTTGAAGAGAACAAAGTATAAAAGCATATATTTATGTTCACTTTGACATTTACTGAGACACAAAACTCTATTCAGACAAAGAAAGACTTTGATCTGAAAACACCTGAAAGCCAAATGTCAAAACAGTCTCTGCTCTGATTGTGAACCAGCATCAGGACACATGTTTGGTGAAAAAGCCCCGATGGTGAGGATCGGTGATGACAGCTGGAGAGTTTCCAACTAACTCCAAAGGGGCATTTTTAAACAGTGTAGTGTTGATTCTTGGTCAAGCCCATAGCAGTGTTTTCATGCACTATGATGAACTGAATGTAAACACGTTCATCAGAAGTGAAATGAGTGAGTGAGACCTTTTTGGATTTAATTGTGAACTGTTGGCTGAGGGTTTGTTTTGTGGGATATTTGAAATATACCTGCTATTCGTGATACAGAATCATTTTGAGTTGTATCTTTTCTTATTTTCTAATGTCATTCAATGTTGGGTGTGTGCTATGAGCTGTATAAGCCTTTGTGCAGTACTGACTTACTCAACTGTGACGAAACAAATCTTAAATGTCAGGAGAGAGACCTGACTGACACCCCAAAGGAAAATCAATAAACCTACAAAAATAAGTCAAACTGTCACAATGTGTGACGAGGGGCATCTTCCCTTTACTGAGACCGAAAACTCTATTCAGACAAACAAAGAGTGTGTGACGACGGCCTCTTACCTTTCTGGCAGTGGTTGGAGTTCCAGCAGCGGTAGTTGTAGTTGTTGTTGAACATGGTCTTGCTGCACTGAGGGCTGTTCTCCATGATGCCCGGACAAACATCGCTGCATTCCTTCGACTGTTTGTTCCCGGCGATGTAATTGTTGAACTCGGCGTCCAGAATAAGAGACCAATCAACAGAGTCCAGGTAGCAGAGCTCGGGGTTTTTCTCGATCCGAATGGCGCCTCTCGTGATGTTCCTCAGGTTGAGAAGCCCGATGTCCTTCAGACTGGTCATCTCGAAGATCACCAGGGCGTAGTTGTAGAATAAGTTTCGCCCACGGATGACGGCGAGGTTTGGAAACAACGTGCTGAGGCTGTCGAGGCCGGAGACGCGGAACAGCAGCAGGTAGTCGGTGACCATGGTGAGCTTTGGGAAGCTGAGCGAGCGGAAGAACTCCTGGTTGATGTTGTTATTGTTTTTGTCGCCGATGAGCAAGATCTGCAGGTATCCCTCCACCACCGTGCAGTTCTCCAGACGCCTGAACTCACTGATGTCGTTCCCGATGTCGATGCTGGGGCCGCAGACTGCAGGAAGGGAAGACACAGAGAAGATTATGAGGGTGTGAGGGCGAATTTTAGGATCGTTTCTGGATTCATCGAGTATTTGTTCAGATTAGATTCCTTTATTGTCACTACACAGAGTACAGAGAAATTCCAAGCATTCCCAGACCGTATAAGTATAATTTTGACAATACAAGCTAAAAACTTTTAATATATAAAGTTATTATAAATTGGACCTATGATACATTGAACAGTACGCTCACAAAACAATACAACATTACCATAAGAATACAAGAACAATACGGTCAAGGCAGTTTAGGATGAAAAATGTCAAAAAGAACAGTTTGAAAAGTCCACTAAAGTCAACAGGCGCTTTCACACCAAGTACTTTTCCCAGGAATAGTTCCCGGAACTTTTATTTCCTGGAACTTTTATATCCTGGAACTATCTAGTAAATCGCATTCACACCGGAATAAGTCCCTGAGGGAGCCGCTGACGTCACTTCTTCTTCTTCTGCTTTGGGTTTACTGGCAGGCCGCAAACAACTTCTCGGCGTATACTGCCACCCGAAGTCCCCGGCCGGAAGTCCCCGGAGTTGGGGACTGGCTTCAGTAGAAGCTGCTGGGACTCCCAGCAGCTTCTACTGAAGCCTTCCGAATAAATCGACAGAACGCCGACACCTCCTCATCTCCACCGCTCCCATGTTTTATTTTGTGTTGCCATAATTTATTCTCTTTCCGTTGGTGCGCTGGGCTAATGCTAATGCTAATAATGCTAATGCGAGCAAATAAAATGGCGGCTTCACAAAAACTTTTCAGAGTTTTACGGGGCGTGGTTTGCAATTCGCCCAGCCAATAGAAATTGGAACCTTTTT